GAAACCGTTTCGACATCCAATTGTGTCCTACAAAATCAATGAACACGGTGCTTCAAGAAAGTATTAAAATTTCAATAACTCAATTGAATGATCAAATGATATCGGATTCAAGTGATTTTTTGTAGAGATGATGTTTGAATGTGTATCTACAAAATAGACGGTTTGGATTAGTGAAATACAATCTGGAGTGGGCCCTACAAGGGGTGTCCCTCAAATAAGCTTATTTGAGGGATCCCTCAATGGAAGCTCTCTGGTATATAATATATGTACTTTCTTGTATCCCTCACTTGAATCCGATATCATTTGACCATTCAATTGAGTTATTGAAAATTTTAGTACTTTCTTGAAGCACCGTGTTCATTGATTTTGTAGGACCCAATTAGATGTCGAAACGGTTTTCGATTTGTCTAATTTTTTGTAAGGATGATCTATGAATGAAGACCTAAAAAATAGATGGTTTGGATCATTGGAAAAAAAATTGTAGGGTACCCTAAAGGGCGTCCCTCAAATAAAATTATTTGAGGGATCCCTCAATAGAAGGGGACTGATAACATATATGTGTATATATATGTATATATACATATATATTATAAAATACATATATATACTTACATAATATATGTATTTATATACATATATATTTCAAAAAAATAAAAAAATCTAGTCCTAGTCCAAGCATACACCAAACTCAGGATAAGTGTTATTCAACTTAGACCAAGCCAAGACAATCCTAAGTATAGTTCATGCCAAGGTAGTCCAACAAACGAGCCTAGAGTATTATTGCTATAAATACAATAAAAAAATATTTAAAAAACACAAAAGTCTACCGTGAAACTAATCAGAATAGTTCCTCCAACTCAACGGTCTAGATCCCAGATAAAACCCCCAGACACAAAAACACAAAAGAAACTCTTTCTTCTCTCCCTTCTCTGCAAATTCTCTTCCCAAATTCTTAACATCGCGCATCAATCAACATCACCACGCAAAAATCATGTGTTACGGTCAGCAACGACCCTTCTCCGGAGACAACCTGACCCCTACGCGCGTCGTCCGATTGCCGAACGACAACGCGGTTGTGGTCGCAGATCTGCGCGGCCGCCTGGCTGAGACGGAGGCACGGCTGGCGCGAGCCAGGGCTCGGGAAGCAGAGCTCAGCCGCCGCCTCAATGAGATGAAACGATTCGTTTCGGTCATGGAGATCCTCGAAACCTACCTCAAACGTCGCTTCCGCGAGCAGCAAGAATATGTATCTGGCCTCTTCTCTCCCTCTCCCCTGTCAAGTAAATAAAAAGCCCCAAACCATCACTAATTGCCTTCTTTTCTCTTGCGCATTTTATCAAACACCTCTTGTTCATAGTTTTCCCTTTTTACTTTTTTCGTTTTTTGTTTTGTTTTTTAGGTTGGTTTTAATGGTTCTGGGTTTATCATCAGGTCCTGTTTGTGTTTGTATTATTACATGACATTATTATCAATGTGATGCAGATTATTGATGAACAAGATATATACTTGGATATTTATCTAGTGTAAAACAACTAGTAGATTTGCTGTTGTTTGGAATTTGGATACTGGAATCATTTTAGTGTCATTGATTTTCTATTGCATGATTTTCATTTTGGTGGTTTGGGTATGGTCATTGGTTCACTTCTTTGTTAAATTGGAGAGACCGGAATGCAAAATTTCATATATTTTAGAGAGCATATGTTTATGCTCATTTGGTTAGTGATCAGCAGCTAGGTAATGAATCATTTGTCTGTTTCTACTAAAGTGTGGATTTGAGATTTTGGATTTGCAACAATTTTTTAAGTTGCCATTGTGTTCAATTGAGGAGAAAAGCTGGAGGGCTCTTCATCAAACATGTAGGTACATTTTCTAACCCAAACTATGAGCACATGCTATGGATTGAAAGGAAATCTTTTTGTGTGGATATTTGTCTTTGTACTTTGTAGAAAGGGGAGAAAGTTGGTAGGCATCTCCTAACCAGCCCTCAGGCTTACTTGTTACCAGTAGAACTGGTTATGGCTGTGGATTGAAATGGGCTTTTGTTGAATGGAGAAAATTATCTCACTTACCAATGAGATTGAAGGCTTTTTTTTTTTTGAGGTCCAAGAAGTCATCTCATTAGAAAACAGACCCCAAACTAGGGAGCAACAAGGATGAGATTTAAGGTTTAAATGCTATATATATGTAAACTTTAAGCTATCTGCAAAATGGTGCTCAACTCAACAAAAATAATCAAGTTATGACTGCTTTGAGTTTTCTTTTCTTAATATGCAGTTGATTTCTTTCACTTAGTAGGACTATTTGTATATATATTATTACTTGTAACATTTTAATGGATCTGATTTGAGGGAAGATGGATCAAGTCAGTTAAAATAGGCTCACACCAGTAACTGGATTGATAAATAGGTTGCAGTTGGATAGTGGATACAAAACTAAGGAGCTTTGCATTTAGGTTCTTAGTTTAAACTGTTGAGAGTTTTGATATTTTTTTCTCATAACTTGAGCTCTTATAATTTTAAGTGGGTTAGGAACTGAATAAGAAGTAGAACTTCTTTTACTGGAAGATTGTGAAATTTCCACTCTCTTAAATAGACTAATTTACGTGCGGTTTTGATTAACATAAACTCTATCTTAATATTTCTAAAATCTCATGAAACTATTAACAATCAAAATTGGAATCTACTATCTATATTCAACCTTACTGTTAACAAAATTTCTATCTTTTTGTCTCAGTCTTCTGTTCTTTATTCTGATACATTGAAGTGGAATGCCTGGCCAAAAGTCCAGTGCTTATCTGCTTGTTAGCTGCAATTTCAGCAGGGTAAAACAGAATCTGCTTAGTTGAAATGTGTTGTTGGGCTATTATGGCTCAAAGGCTACAATATTCTCCTATAACCTAGTGAAATTGTAATTTACACTGCATGTCGTTTTGTGGTTTCCATGATCTTGAAACTGGGGGTTTAAGCATCACAATCCACTCGGGATTTTGGAATCATTCCCCTCCATATTTTTCTTTTCTTTTGTAGTCGAGTGAATTCAAAGAACCAAAAAGTCTTAAACTTTCTCCTTTTGAAGGTTGGCAGGACTTGCAGTTGAATTTGCTTTTGTTGGCCGAAATGACTTTTTGGTTGGCCAGAAGAAAGATATGGAATCTTATAAATCGTTTTTATGATCCTTCTACTTCACGATAACCTTCACAAGTATGGATAGATAATGATTAAGCTAAGGACCTTAGATATAGAGATGACAATCAAAGGAGGGCAAGATTGTCATTGATGTCGAAGTTTAAAATTATTTATTTATTTATTTTTGGTAGAACATTAATCTCCAGCTCTGCTCTCCCAATAACATCTCCTCAAGTTGGAGTTATACTTATATCCCATTTGACAAGAAAACTTAGTTGCGACGGGGATAATACTGTTTTGCTATCTTCGGCTAATAATTTTATGCTACGTGGAAGTGTTATCAAACGTGTCATGTTGTTATTGGCCCAGAATATTCCTGTTTCATGGAATTCTCTCTCTCAATTGAGAGGCCTTCTGTGATTTTCGAAGTATTGACACAACTGCAACCTCCGATATGTTGAAAGCTGCTTGCTCATCTTGTTTAAAATTCTCTTACCAACTCAGCAACATACTTTAAAGAAACAAAAATAAAAATAAAAGGAAGCAAAAGAAAAAGAACAGAGTTGCCAAGCATATCTCTTCCGCAACTGAGAAAAAGAAAAATCCTACTGAAGGTAGTGTGATAGAACAATAAAGCATGGAAACAGATCTTGCCAATAACCCTTTTGTGACAGTCGACAAAGTTAAGTAATCTTTTAATTGTATTTAAGTAAAAAGATACACTCACAAATAACATCTTTAATTGTCTTTAGGCTACAAAGTCCAAGCGAAGGTGACAGAATGGGCCTGACTCTGAACTTTCATATTCAATCCATACTTCATTGTCTTTCTTTGATAATCCAACTCTTATACACTTATAAAAGAAAAAATGATGCAATTTTATAAAAGTTAGTTTTGATGAATTGGTGGAATTCAAAATCTCTAAAATAAAGAACAAGGAGGAAGTGAATGAATATACAAAAGGGAAATTGTGAAGTTCGAAATGAGAATATTAAGCACAAAGAATTTATAGTTCAAGTGATTAGGAGAAGTTATTATGCACTCAGGGGCGGAGCCATAACAAGGCCTGTCATGGCCCTGGCCCCTCATTTAATTTTTAATCTCTTGTAATATATTATAAAATATATGTTATAGCAATACAATTACTGCAATTAAATTAGTGATGACCCACTCGGTTGAAGATAAAAAACCTATGTGGAAGTAATTTTGAAATTTTAGCCCCTCCATGCTAAATCCTAGCTCTGTCAATACATGCACTCGTTAGGAGATCTTGTGTTGGATTCTTTCTCTCCAAATATCGTACATTACGTTTCCTCACAACGGCCAGAAAACGGGGGCGTTTCAGTAATTTCAGCAAAAAAGCAAAACTTAAACTGAAAGCAACTAGCGAGCGGCAAACAGATTAGGAAATAATAAAAATAAATAAAAGATGAAGAAGAAGAAGATGAAGCTCACTCACACTTATCTCAAGCAACAGTCGTCCCGATCACACCATTACTCGCATCATTACAGTTAGAAATTAGCAGTAATAAAAATGATGAAGCTCTCTTGTTCACCCTCTCACACACCTTTCCCCATCCCAACAAACCCAACTCATTCTTTCTTGCTTTGCTTTCACTCTCCCTCTCTCTTTCTCTAATTTAATACTTTATTTCTTCTCGTTCTTAGTTTGCTGAGCTTCTTCTTTGTGCTGCTCTCTGGGTAGGAAACTGAGGCAAGCTCTTTACCTTCTTTAGTTTTGAAGCTTATTTTTGTTGAAAAAACTGGTACCCAGTTGAAAGGAAGCTTTAATGGAACCGGGGTCGAGCTCAGAGCCACTGGACAAGGCTGAGAGAGAGAGGGGACCGAGGGGTGGTGCTGCAATAGGCTCTGTTGAACCCAAGATCTCGGCTTTTGTGCCGAGGAGGGATCACAATCCAAGAGAGCTGAGATCTTGGGCCAAAAGAACTGGGTTTGTCTCTAATTTCTCTGGGGAGACAGCTACTAGTGGCAGTGTGAGAAATGATAGTGCTGGGTTTGGTTTGGAGACGGGTTTTGATGAGAGAGGTGGTGGCGGGTCGTCTCCAAAAATCGAGATTGATCCGGTTTTGGGCCGGACTAAGCCCAGTAAAGGGATTGAGATTGAGCCAGCTACTGGTCCTGGACATGGAGGGGTGAGGAATGAGAGAGATGAAACAGTGCGGGGTGAGAGTAAGCGGAGGAGGACTGAGAATGAGCCTGTTTTGGGTGCTAAAGATGATGATAGAAGAGACGGTGTCAATGGAAATGAGAATAGGAATGGAAGTGGGAATGGGAATGGGCATGGAGTCACACCAGTTGCTTCAGCAGCTGAGCCGAAGATAATTGATGATGAGAAATATGAAAGAGATGTAGAGATGAATTATCCAGATGGTGAAGAACCTGTTCATGGAGGGTGGGGGAGACCGTCTGCAATGAAGATTGGATTGAGAGAAAATCCGGGTTTTGGTTAGTTTACTTTCATTCCTTTTGTTTTAATTTGTTGATCAATCTTTAAATCGGATTAATTTGTTGATTAGGGAATTGCTAGTTTTTGTTTGTGATAGTTGTATAGTTAATTTGTAGTCTTTATTTCTAGGCAAGAGATTTTCAATATAGTACCATGGGGCAGAATGAGTTAAAATACTATTGTTTAGGAAAGAAAAGGTTTCTGGCAAAAATAGCGAAATTTTGCATCTTAATAAAAAGTAGTCATTCAAAATTTTGTCTTCAGAAAGTTTAAAAGCCAGTAAAAATTTGATGCTGATGAAACAAAGCTAGTGATTTGTTAAGTTTATGTTTTCAGTACTTTAAAGCTCCGGAAAAGAAAAGTAGGTACGAGGAGGCTAAACTTTCAATGTTTCATTCTTCAATATGGGTAAGGCCAGGTAAATAAAAAATAGGCTGAATCTTGTAATAGGGGAGGCATGATTTCCTTAAGCAACACCTCCCATTTCTCATAGCATTTGTTTGCTGGAATAGGGGTTAGGAATGGGTCTGAGATTCCTTTCTTAGGTTTGGTAGGTGCAAACATGAGAAAGGAAGGGTGGGTTTCTCATTCCCATGTTTTAGTTCTAGCTTTATGATACATGGTATGGTAATGACAACTATTCCCATTTGAATACAAATGCTACATTCCATTGGTTTCTAAAAACCCTTGGAATGGGAATGGGTATGGGGTTCTTGAAGTCCCATTCCCTGTAACAAACGCTACCAGTGCAACAGATATGGGCTAGCACTTAGGTGGCAGGCAAAGATGAACACTGTAAGGGGGAAATAGCATTGAGAAAGAACACAAGCTTGTAAAGCAATCTACTATTCTTTTTCTTCCTTTTCCAGAGAAGAATGGCTGAAAACGTTCCTTTCAACATTGATATCTCCTGACCCTGAACTTTAGTGCAAGTTTGATGGGTTAGTGCAAGTTTGCTTCAGCTTATGTTGTTTAGACAAAGGTTTCAAAACTAGAACAAATGTTGTGGTGTTCTCTTAAAATAAATTGATTGATTCAGTCTGGCTGTGGTTAGTGATCAGTAACCAAAAGGCATTCCTATTACACAAATAATATCTTAGCAAGAGTGAATATCCACTCTTGAATCTGGCTTCACAAAAAATTAGTTTTCTTTCCTTACTCTCATCTGATTGTTTTTCATGGCAGTTCCACTAATGTATTACGGTCTGCAGCACTATTTATCACTGGCTGGTTCCCTTATATTCATCCCCCTGATCATTGTACCGGCCATGGGTGGAACAGATGTAAGCATGTATTCTCCTGCATTCTTTTTGTCTTATAACTTAAGAGGGAAAACTCACTGTTTATATAATTTGCATAAATGATCATAGAAGGATACCTCCACGGTGATTTCAACAATGCTGCTGGTTTCTGGAATGACAACAATACTGCACTCTTACTTTGGAACTCGACTTCCATTAGTTCAAGGAAGTTCATTTGTATACTTGGCACCGGCACTAGTTATCATGAATGCTCAGGAATTTCGAAATCTTACGGAGCATGTAAGTTCAGTAACTAAGGGCTAAGATTCTACCAACTGTAATATCCTTGAGATTTCACTGTTACCTGGAATGTTCTAACATCCAGGTACAATTTCCTACTTGAAATCAGTATGTTTTGCCACATATTTGAGGATTTGGAAATTATACCCTTTTGAAATGGAGCGACTTCCTTTAATTTCATGTCAAATGTATCACGGACCTCATGGTTTCATTGTCTATTAATTTCATTGCAGAAATTTAGGCATATAATGAGAGAACTGCAAGGAGCTATAATTATTGGTTCGATATTTCAGAGCCTCCTGGGATTTAGTGGTTTAATGTCTTTATTGCTGAGGTAATTCAAGAGATTTCTTGTAAAATTTTCATTTTGCCGATATTTCGATGTTTATTAAAAAGACAAATAATATGTATTTTCTGGAATAAAAAGGGGGGGATACATTGGTTCTGCTCCTAATCCTCTGTCTGTCTCTGTCTCTGTCTCTGTCTCTCTCTGTCTCTCTCTGTCTCTCTCTCCCTCTCATGTGTGTGTGTGTATATATATATACACACACACATATCATGTCATTCATTTTGTTTATTTATGACAATGCAATATAGCACTAACTTAGGGAAACATATTTGCATTTTTGGCTTGCATAACCATGTCTTGGAGCTGGGGCAAAGAGGATTTCGCTGGCACTACTGGAAATAATATATATTTTTTCTACATGTAAACATAATAGGGGGCCTAATGTTTGTTGTTGATAAATCAAATCGTGGTTGCCCATTTAGTTGCATCAAAGGTCTTAGTGAATTTGATATGTTTAGTAATTTTAAAACTGAATAATCATTGCCAGCAGCTATCATGATTTGTATTCTGGTTTTTGCTAGTACTTGTATAAACTATGCCATTTCTCTTTCTGATCTATATGATAACACATTGCAGATTGATACATCCCATTATTGTTGCACCAACAGTTGCTGCAGTAGGTTTAGCGTTTTTTAGCTATGGCTTTCCACAAGCTGGGAGTTGTGTGGAAATAAGTGTTCCGCAGATACTTTTGATTCTCATATTCACCCTGGTAAGTGAGTGCGTGGTACTAAATATGCCTATGCAGCCTGTTCTGTACAGCTGTCTTTAAGAAGTCTTCCACTTTTAATCTTCTTAATTCTTAAATGCTTTGGCTAAGTGTTAACAAATATTAATTACTTTACTTTTGTTGCTATGTTTATAGTACCTTCGAGCCGTATCCATCTTTGGGCATCGCTTTTTTCAGATTTATGCGGTAGGTATCATACCTTTCAACATCTTGGTTCATTGAAAGCTATATTATTTTTTAAATTAGATATTGGTTTTGTTTGGAGTCTTTTGACCTGGAAGATTTCAATGTTTCCTATGTGTAACTGAAGCCTGTCCTATACTTTCATTAGTCTTATCATCCACGTGTTGTGCTTTCATGGCAAGTTGAGTTCCCAACATCTTTCCAGAGAAGGCCCCAAATGTTATATAAGATTCGGCATTTTGGGACAAGATAATACTGCCAGGTTCAAACATTTAGTTTACACAGTGACATCAGTAATCACCATCCTGGCTGGATAATCTTGTTGTAATATATATTCATGGCCATCATAAATTATTGGACTCGGTTAGACGTGAGTGTCTTGCCAATGACTGTCTGACATGCCAAATTCTAAAATGAAATTACAAAAAAGAAAAGAAAAAAATATTAGCATTAAAATTAATGTTCTCATTTTCTGTTGGTAGCATTCATAACTGTTTTTCTAATACTTTATGGTACATGTCGATATTGTAACTTAATTGATCTTGCTGACATTTTTCTTATTGCAGGTTCCCTTAAGTGTTATGATCATATGGACTTATGCATTCTTTTTGACAGCCGGTGGAGCATATGATTACAAAGGCTGCAGCCCTGATATACCTAGTTCAAATATCCTAATAGATGCTTGCAGAAAGCATGCATATACTATGACACATTGCAGGACCGATGTTTCAAATGCATGGAGAACTGCTGCATGGGTCAGGATTCCATACCCTTTACAGTGGGGTCTCCCTATCTTCCATTTCAGGACTTCCATTATCATGATTTTTGTGTCGCTCGTAGCATCAGTTGATTCGGTGGGTAGCTTATAATTCAAATGCAACTGAAAATAAGTTATAAGTATGATGTCACATGCTTGTGTTCTCACACACACCAGCGCTGCTTATGTCATGTCATTGGTGAGAGGAGCATCTAAGCTGCTAATGCCTCGACCTTTGAATGGTGGGATTATTTAAACACCCTTCAATAGTGCTATGACTTTGGGCTATGGTGAAGGCTTTGTGATTGCACAAGAGCACTCATCCCTGTCCTATAATATTTTTTTGGTTGGAAGTCCTTTTTTTCCCCTTCTTACTAATGTTAAAAACTTATGTATGTACTCTAGGGCAGTGAATGAATGTAAATATGAAATTACCAGCATGACACTGACGCACAGGGTGTAAAAACTTATCCAGGTTGGAACATACCACACTGCATCTGTGCGTATTAATTTGCAGCCTCCAACGCCAGGAATTGTCAGCAGAGGAATTGCATTGGAGGGTTTCTGCAGTATATTGGCTGGAATTTGGGGTTCAGGTACTGGGTCAACAACCTTGACAGAAAATGTACATACGATTAACATAACGAAGGTGGCAAATCGCAGGGCCGTGGAACTTGGAGCAGTTTTCTTAATCTTTTTCTCGTTTATAGGTAAAGTACTTCAAAACCCCATAAGTTTGAATTGCTGTCAAAAGCACAAAGTAATGTTTTATTGTTGTGTTAAATTATGCTTCGTATTGGATGCTGTCATAATTGACAGTATACTGCATGTACCCTTGTTGGATACTTCAGGAATTTTTCTTTTTAAAAAATGTATTTTGTCACTCATTGTTTTGTAGGAAAAGTGGGTGCCATTCTTGCCTCTATACCATTGGCCTTGGCTGCTTCAGTACTGTGCTTCACGTGGGCCCTTGTTGTGGCATTGGGTCTCTCAACTTTGCAGAATAGTAGTCAAGCAGCAAGTTTTAGAAACATAATGATCGTTGGTGTTTCATTGTTCCTTGGTTTATCTATCCCAGCGTATTTTCAACAGTATCAACCCGAATCCAGCCTCATACTGCCTAGCTATTTTGTTCCCTATGGAGCAGCATCTAATGGACCACTCCATACGGGCATTAAACAAGTAAGAAAGCTATTTTATCCTTGTTTCCTCACGGATTCTAAATGCACAAATACGTGAAAAATCAGAGCTTCACTTCCCCCTTCCTAAGAACTATCGAATGAAAAAAAAAGGGGGGAAAAAAAAAAGAGAGGAACTTCTACCGGAATAGTGATGAATTACTGTAAGTTACAAAAAGAACAGTTTTTCTGATGAACTGGTTTCTGAAGATGGTTAAAATCATATTTGGGGACTGATAAATATGATCAAAATATGACATTCTAGGAGTCTAGGGCCCATGTTTTAACATGTACAGGCACGCATGTTTACTGTCCTAGCCTCTTCCATGTACAGTTTCAAGTTCTGTTTTATGAGCTAAATTGTTGTTTCAATGCCTGGCAGCTTGACTTCGTTATAAATGGACTACTGTCTTTGAACATGGTGGTGACATTTCTAATAGCATTCGTACTAGAAAACAGTGTTCCAGGCAGCCGGCAGGAGCGAGGGGTTTATATATGGTCACGTCCAGAAGACATCTCAACCGATCCATCTTTGCTTGAAGATTATTCCTTGCCAAGAAAACTTTGCAGATGTCTTTGCCGGGAAAAACATCTAGGTGTGTGATATTTTATAGTAATGTGAAAATGCAAAGGCACTTGGTAGATTTTGGGGGCACTGAAGAGTGGATATAGTAAAGCTGGAGTGAAGAGAAATGATAATCACACGATATAGACACATAGCAATAGCTTCCTTCACCAAATTGGAAATGTTAGAGAATAGTTTGCAACCATTGTGATTCCAATTGTACAATGACTTAAAACAGTTTTTTATGGGCTACAATTTAGCTCTTTGTAATATGTAAATCCATCAAATAGTTATTCATTCTAAATAAAAGTTTATTGGAACTGACTCTTGCATTAGTGGAAGAATTAGTATAAATACTACTTGAAGGCACAAAGTCCACTCTAGCCTATACGTGAATCCGCCCTTGATTCCAACCATTTAAAAGTTTCAGAGTCAGAATACCACATATGAACTCTGAATCTGAAACAAGAGGTAAAATTGACAATCAAATGATCAAACCATTGGTAAAATGAAATTTATACCCTTGAAGCATTCTCTCCATTCTCTACCTTCAGTTGCTTATCTTGGACAAGCTGTTAGATTTTCTCCTTGGCATCGAATATTTCTTTTTCATCTGATTTGCATTTCCATGTTTGTTCTGCTTGCTTAAGTGGAAAGCTGACATGATGATCATATTCTACCAGTGCATTTCAAAAACTAGATAATGTTGTTTGGGGCTCGTCTTTATGAGTCAATAGAGTAACCTTGTCAATAGACTCGAAACTGAACCAAGCCGAACCATGCTCAGGCCTATCATATCGTATCCTAGTATCCTACACCCCACACCGTATGCTTCCCCTTCCTTTATGTGTAACTTATATATAACTGGCCCTCCACCTTTCAAATTACAATATTGCCTAACTAAATATTGAAAAGAAAAAAAAACTGTCATTTTCTGTTCTAATGAACAAAACGTGAATAGGATGTAAACACACACTTATTCACCTGTTCTCATCGTGATGTCTTATTCAGATTGATCCGTCCAATTCCATTAATTCCGTGAATAGTAGAGTCTGTCTGGTCTGCCTATACGATGAACGTCCTCCTCTAGCCTTGCTGGTTTGTGGTTTTATAACTTTTTGGCTATATCAACGTTTCTTTTAAAACAATATATAGAAAAACGGCTCTGGTATATACAATATTGTATCTTATAAGCAAGTAGTACAACTATACGTGGAGCACCAGGTACCACTACAAAAAAAAAAGTGGCAACAGTCACCATTATTTGATGACATTTGCTGGGGTGACTAAAGGCTTTAGTCACCAAAAACCCAGCAAATGTCATCAAATGCCACCACGTTTTTTTTGTAGTATACAATATATCCTCTCATATGTGGACTAGAAGTACGTACAGAATCTAAGTAAGGCATAGAGAGCATCCTTTGTGTACCTGTGGTTTGGTTTCGTTTTCGTTTCGTTAAGCATAAATCACTCCAAGATGATAAGGTTTAGAATCCTGCGGTTTTCCCAACTCTCGCACACCAGAATCCATCAGGATAAGGTTTGCCACTCTGGCCTTATATTGGTTTTGTTTACCTTGTACCATTTGATCATTATGTGTACAAAATGACTTGCCACATCAAAATCCATATATATTTCTCTCTCATGGGCTCAAAAGATGTTCTTAGTCTTTTTCTGGTTTTTAAGAACTTTTGGAGTTAACACCCAAACAAGGACGGAACAAACATCCTAAAATTTTAAAAATAAAAAAAATATCAAAGAGACCTCTAGGGCAAAAGTATACCAATTGATGATATAGCTTGCTAGCATCTTTTTAGGGTTCAACCATTAGGGGCTAGAATATTAGTATGTGTTTTTTTTTTTTTTTTTGCTTTTTATGATTTAAGGCACAATGGGTGGAATAGGTTTTGCCAACAATGAGTAATCGTTTGCATAAATAGTTTGGTTTTGTATGTCACAAAAAGCACAAAACCCTTCTTGGCACAAAACTATTCTTGGTGCCGTACCCTTAGTAAATAGTTTAACCCTATAAATACCCCTTAAACAGTTTCAACTTCCTCACCACCTCAGCTTATAGTTAACCTCTCTCTCTCTCTCTCTCTCTCTCTCTCTCTCAGACAAATTAAAACTCCCCCAAGTACGTTGTAGTGCCCAAATCAATGGCAAAGTCATCATGTCCTAGAAGCCTCATTCTTGTTCTCTCATGTGTACTTGTGTTTGCCTTCATGAACAACTCATCAGCCTTAGCGTCCAGTGGTATTAATAATTACCGTGTGGTCAACTTAGGAGCCAAACCAGATGGCAAGACTGACTCAACCAAAGCCTTCCTTTCTGCATGGGACAAAGCTTGTGCCTCCGTGAAGCCAGCTGTCATTCACGTCCCGCGTGGGACGTTCTTGCTAGGCAATGCCATCTTCAAAGGGCCATGCAACAACCAGGCCACCACCTTTCGCATCGCGGAAGGCACCCTCGTTGCCCCATCCGATTACCGGGTCCTTGGAAATGCTGGTAACTGGCTTTCGTTTCAGGATGTGCACGGCCTCAACATATCTAGCTCTCACGGAATTCTTGATGGCCAAGGCACTGGTTTGTGGGATTGCAAGGCCTCACCACTAGGCAAGAGTAATTGCCCTACCGGAGCAATCGTACGTAACTTTAATTACTAATTCAGATCACCAAATTATTGTCCATAATTTAAGTACCCTTTTAGACTTTTAGTTGATGGGCGGTGGCTAATAAATTACCTTCCATTCATATACAGGATATAGAATTTTATTAAAATAATATGCACCATCCATGGCAGGCATCAAGTACGTACAAAATTGGTGTTGTTAGTGGGTATTGTTGATTGGTCAGCTTGTGGTCACTGTTCATTTTACTTCACTTAACTGAAATATTCTCTAGTTTTATCTTTTTGTGCTTAAGTGGTTCCAAACGATATCATTTTTGTTTGTTTTCTTGGGAGGGAATCAGACTTTTGACTTATTGTATTTCTAACCTATTAACCCACTCTCGTTTAGAGGTTAAGCATTTTGAATTTCGGATTTAATACTATTTAAGACTCGTTTTTGGTTTGCGGATTGAATTTATTGGGAATAAACTTCTCATGTCTAATCTTACAAGATGAGAATGGATGATGTTCATTCTTATGTTTGGGAACGTTATTTTCTCTCATTCTCATATTTGGTTAGTGCAGTATTAAGAATGAAAAGTTATTCAGTTTTCCAACAATAACCTTGATTTTTTATCATTAAAAGTTATTAATATGAACAATTTTTTAAGGGTCAAAAGTAGTGGTATTTAGAAATAATAACATGGGTAAGTTAGTAAAAAAACACTACATTAATTGCTTTTCTAAGTGGGGGGAAATAGTGAGCCAAGGGTATGAAATTCTCCCTACATATAGGAAGTCCATACCCAAGAGTCCAGAATTGCATTCCCAATAGTGCACTTACTAAACATAGAAATGCAATTTGAAACCCATTCCAAGCGCTTAAACTTTGAACCAAATGGACCTTAGTGTTTATATTTAAAAGAACTAAATGTGAGTCAAAATCGACACTACTAAAACATAAAAAATGCATATAGAAACCTTGTGAGTTTAGATTAAGTTATTAACTACTTAAGTACCTAAGCTTAGGGAAGTTACATATATAGAGCATGTACATATGAAGTGTGTGTTTGCGTGGGTTATGTGCAGTCACTGGGTTTCTTCAACTCGAGCAACATTGTAGTGAGTGGATTGATATCACGAAACAGCCAAATGGTCCACATAATCATCAAAGGTTGTCACAATGTGAATATGCTTGGAATTAGGGTTTCTGCCTCTGAAAAAGCCCCCAACACCGATGGCATCCACATTCAAATGTCATCAGACATCACCATTTTCAACTCTGATTTTTCAACCGGTGATGATTGTGTCTCAATTGGCCCTGGCACCTTTAACTTGTGGATCGAAAAGGTTACTTGTGGACCCGGCCATGGAATTAGGTACGTCAAAATTAAATAGGGCATGCATTTGTAATCAAGCCAATCAAACTAGCATACAAGGATATGTTTTAGTATACTTTAAAGAACCTTTTGTGTTTTTTGATTTACTTCTAAATTTTGAATCGATTTGATTGGTGTTGCAGCGTTGGAAGTCTAGGGTGGGAGATGCAAGAGCCCGGTGTGCAAAATGTAACAGTTAAAACTGCTACTTTTAAGAATACCTTGAATGGTGTCAGGATTAAATCTTGGAGTAGACCTAGCACTGGATTTGCTAGGCACATTCTCTTCCAACATGCCGTAATGGTCAATGTCAAAAATCCCATCATTATTGATCAAAACTACTGCCCTAACAACGAAGACTGCCCTCGTCAGGTAAAGATATCATAAGAGTTCTGTAGTAAATTCAATTACAAGCTTTTTGTTTTCCCAGACAATCACATATATAGCTAGTTGAATTTTTCAAAATATTGGCATCACCCAAATATAATGTCTAATTTGGAAATGTATCAAAAGCTTCATGGGTTTTCGACCAAAAAAAAAAGATGAAGCCCAATCTTTTCCGTTCGTCAAACTTGCTACATTTTGCACCATATACTTGGTTACTTGATAGATAATTTTGTGTTCATCTTTGATAACACTTTGTCTGAACAGGTTTCTGGAATCGAAATTACTGACGTGACGTACCAAGACATCCACGGTACATCAGCAACTGAAGTTGCAGTGAATTTCGATTGTAGTTCCAAGAATCCTTGTACGAGGATTAGATTGGAGGATGTGAAGCTCACTTACAAGAACCAACCATCTGAAGCTTCATGTAGCCATGTAGATGGAACAGCTGCAGGTACAGTTCAGCCTGCAAGTTGTTTGTAGAGGAATTGCGATGGAATGTATCTCGTGAAGTAGGAAATATAAACCTTTGTCATCTTATAGGACCAAAAGAATCATAGTTATACACATTACTTAAGTTATAAAAACAATTTTAGGTCAACAAATGAAGTACAATAAAATCATTTATGTTGTCTTCGTTAAATTTCAGAGAGACGGGTCATCGGCCCACTACTTGCAACATCGATATTGTCCCCAACTTAACTACTTACAAAGCCAAGTTAGTGTGGGGTTTTATCACAAAAGGCCTTGGTGTTATTAAAAGTGAAACCATTTATTATATGAGACTTTCTATTTTGTTAAGTTTCTGATATAGGGAAACTGATTTCAAGTAAATCATGACATAATCATGCATTCATTATAAGATTTCTAGTTGGAGTTATTTACACTTAAGTGCTTTTATATTAGTCCTATTTTTAATAGGATTAAATTTTATCTCTTGAGATT